TCTCTCTCTCTCCTCTCTCTCTCTCCCCTCCCCTCTCTCCCTTCTCCTCTCCCTCTCCCTCCCTCTCCCCTCCCCTCTCCTCTCCTCACTCTCTCTCTCTCTCTCTCTCTCTCTCTCTCTCTCTCTCTCTCTCTCTCTCTCTCTCTCTCTCTCTCTCTCTCTCTCTCTCCTCCTCTCTCCTCTCCTCTCCTCCTCCCTCTCCCTCTCCCTCTCCCTCTTCTCTCCCTCTCTCCTCCCTCTCCCTCTCCCCTCTCTCTCTCCCCTCTCCCTCTCCCTCTCCCTCTCCTCTCCCTCTCCCTCTCCTCTCCCTCTCCCCTCTCCCTCTCCCTCTCTCTCTCTCTCTCCCTCTCCCTCTCCCTCTCTCCTCCCCCTCTCTCTCTCTCTCTCTCTCTCTCTCTCTCTCTCTCTCTCTCTCTCTCTCTCTCCTCTCTCTCTCTCTCTCTCTCTCTCTCTCTCTCTCTCTCTCTCCCTCTTCTCCCTCTCCCTCCTCTCCTCTCCCTCTCCCTCTCCCTCTCCCTCTCCCTCTCCCTCTCCCCTCTCCCTCTCCCTCTCCCTCTCCCTCTCCCTCTCCCTCTCCCTCTCCCTCTCCCTCTTCCCTCTCCCTCTCCCTCTCTCTCTCCCTCTCCCTCTCCCTCTCTCCCTGCAGTGTGGTTCCATGGCTGCAGGTACCTCGAGGGTTTCTTAATACCTGGCTAGTTTGATTAAAAAAAAAATATTGCGAGACTAAATGAATATTCGCATATACGGACATGCATATACGAGAGAAACAAATATATGTCTATCTGTTTGGTAATATACAATTATCTGTTTATCTGTCTGGTAGATATACAATTATCTGTTTATCTATCCGGTAGATAGGCATGTTTACACCGATAGATGATTTTTCTGTGTATGTGCATGTCTGTATAATGAATATTTGGCACAATTTTAGCTAAATGTTTTTTTTGTGCGTATGTGCATGTCTGTATAATAAATATTTCGCACAATTTTAGCAAACTCGGAGAAAGTCACGTGTTTGTTGCTGTTCTCCCACGCTAATTAAGTTTATTAGATAATGTACTTTGGTGACAAAAGGTTAATATTTAAATAAGTTATTTTAATGATGATGAATTAATATTTAGGTAACCTACTTTGATGATAATTAACTAATACTTAAAGTCTACTTAAATGATAGTAGGTTGATACTTCTATAACTTACTTTACGATAGATTAATATTTAGGTTATCTACTTTAGTGATGGCGGGTTAGTGCTTAAATAATTCACTCTAATTTCGTTTTAATAGCAGGAATGTAATGATATCTGGAGACATCTTTGTAATATTAGATTGTATTATTATTTTATATATTATCTATAATCATACTATCAGTTATATTATTATTTATTTTGTTGTTCTACTTTTTTGATAGTAGAAATACGTTAATTTCAAGATTGTTTGTGTTATTAGATTATATTAGCTTTTAATTTGATGTTTAGTTAAGCAGATAAAGTGGCTAGCGACTGTGAATGCAATATTATCCATAAATATGTTTAGACATTATATTTAGGTTAGTCTTGGGAAATATGCTTGGCCAATTATCGGTAAGAATACATATTTATTTCTAACAACGTTTGAGAATAAATAGATAAGCTTGCTGAAATGACTGGTTACTATACGTGTTTATTTTGCTACGAGATATAAATAAGAAATGTGAAAAAAATTTCCAATATATAAATCTCACACCAACACGTGGCAGCTGATCAGGCTAAACGTGAACCCTCTTTCGCATAAAAGAGCTGATGAGACTTCACATGACTCCACACCACATGGCAAGGTTGCAAGTGTCAGCTGCATGTCGTCGTCAGCCGCGCCAGACAGCCAGACGACAGTGGCGCCGGCAAAGGTGTTCGCGGCAGCCGGCAACACGACAGACTGACCCGTGAAGTCCGGTCAACAGCACTTTAATCAACAGCTTATCGACCCGAGTTATTGAAATATTTGTCTTCATGAGCACCTGGCGTGTCGTAGTTCTCCCACGCACGAGTTTCTGAGTAAATTTAGTTTTATATGTCTTTCCCCTTAATTAATATTTATTGCTTGTCGCGGCGAGGAATTTAGATTTCGCGCCACCTGGATGTACCCTCCAAGGGACCCTGTGTATAAAAGAGACTGTGAATAATGGCCGCGTTAGTTAAGCTGCGGGGGAACCGATAAATGAATACGGAAGTGTTTTTGTTCTTTTCTTTACTTCGCCGATTGAGATTCGTGTCGACACTTCACCGCGTCTTTTGTTTGTGGGAAGTCATAAATCATGGCTGTAGCCCGCCATGAAAATGCTTTTGTTCAGGCTACGGCGTTCTATAAGTGAATTGTTCGCGCGATGATCAATAAAGCCTTTTGGAGGCTCCTTTTGGATATGTTTTTTTTTTTTCTTTCCTTAATTACTACGAAAGAACAGTATTTTCCGAGTACATACCTCTAATAACATGTTACATACCCATGCGAGAAACATTTTCAAACAAAATTATGTGACTTAGAATGCAGTACGCTATATTTTATTTGAAAATTATGT